TTACAAACCAAACCAGTATAGTTTTCAAACACAGTGTTTCCCCGTTCACAGCACAGCCTACCAGATCCAACTGACTTGAATTTTTACAAGACATGAGCAGATTCAGAGGAGGATTAAGGAGTTACAGTCTGAAAGCTAAGAGCAGAAAGCAAAATAAGAGAGCAAACAAGTCTGCTCAATAGACAACAGCTTCTGTTTTCTTTTGCCACTATTGGGATTTTTGCTAGTGTCCTTCCCATCTCACTGTCCAATCCCATCAATAGTAACACAACTTCACTCTCCTCAGTAACAATCTTCTAGTGAGGAGATCACTCCATTCAGCAAACCCTGAGACTTACTTACAGAGGATTCCACTCCCCTCCCTTGCTTTGCTTTATTGAATGAGGTTTCTAGTACTTATTCTGCTTCAAATACAGGAATTCCTTACATCCCAGTAAAAACATCCTCTTCCTATCACCTATAAAGAATAAACTTTGTGTTACCTACTCACAGCTCAGTAGAGGTGCCAGAGGAAGCAGCAAACAAATGCTTCCCCCAACAACGTCATCCATATGCTCGTAACAGATTGGGCTGCTTAAGTAATAATACATGCTGGATCTACCTAGATATTTTAGATCCTATACAAGTACTTCATACTTTTGCCAGAAAAACAAAGTCATCCAAGTACAGTTGGTCCATTCACTCGGACACCTTGCTAAAAAAAAAAAAAAGAAGAAATAAAAAAAGTATGCAGATAAATTACTTTCATGATAAGAATCCAAGCAGGTTCTGATCCTAAAGTGGGACATGCACCTGAATGGAAAAACAAATTAAATACAAATCTCATTTTGCAGAGCTACCTTATTCTAAAGCATGCTGGGGATGAAGCTTTTAAGGTGTACTGAGATAAACAAAAGCTTAGTCAATAGCTAAAATTCAAAATAAGCTTGGTGAATTCCTTTGTAGTTTTACTGATAACAAATGAAATTTATTAGGAAACAACCTGGCCCTCATTTTTATACTATTATGCATTTGCTAAATATATTTGGGTTTTAATTTAAGTAATGAATCTGTATAGTGAGGGAAGGTACGAATACTAGCCAGCTCTTAACCAGACATACTATTTATGTACAGCTCTTATGTAACCCAGCATAATCAATAAAACATAAGTATTCCCTTATGTTAAATTTAAGACTTTAAAGTTAAGATAGGAAAATCAAACCGAATTTGATCTAAGTATACCAATTCCTCTTTTTTAATCCCTCCACCTCGTGTTATTAACTAATGAGTGAGCAGGTCTGGCAAAATAACCATCTGGTGTGTTTTAGCCCTTAACAGCTGTTCCTCTTTTACGTTGATAACTTCCCAAAGAGGACCATTGATAGCGCAGGTTTTAGTCAGGGTTGCAGGTGTGTGGCTGTTATTGCTAGAGAATAAAATGACGGTGTGATTAGGTTATAAAGGCTTCTGTGTCTGTCTTCTAAAGCTCTGTTCTTCCTTCATCTTTCAGGTGGGGAGGAAGTGAGTTGTGGCTTTCCCTGAAACTAAGGTAAAAAAGATGACTGGTCTGCTTTGAGGGTGGAAGTTTAGTTTTGAATTGCTCAAGGGTGGCTGGTTATGGTAGTAGCTCTAAGTCAGTGATTTCTCAGCACTTAATATTTATATGGATTGTCTTTAAATATAAGGTTTGTTTGATGTACCCCAGGAGAGGTCATAAAAATAAGGAAATGCTGTTTTATGGATGTCTTTAAGGGGATAGCTGTCCTTCTGAAAGAAGAGATTGTGCTACTTGCAGTAAGAAGGCTGTACTCTGTCTTGGGTAGTTCTAATATATCAACCTATGGGAGGTTCCAAGATTATTTATGAAACTTCAGTATGATTATTGACTATTACCTAAAAAAAACTGTTAAAAAGGCCTTGAAGAATCAAATGTTCTTTGGGTGTAGAGTTTGGTAGACTGTCTGCCTTTGTTCTGTATGTGGTATGCTAATATTTTTCTGAGCTGCTGTTCTTGACCAGTATATGATATATACCATAGTAGTTATAATGCTCAGCTAAAACAAAAGGACAAAAGGAAACAGCTGCCTTTTCAGGAGGCTTGCTAATGCATGCTTTTAGAGAGCTATCAGTGAGAGCAAATAACCTTTTCTTAAAAAAAAAAAAAAAAAAGAAAAGAAATGTGATTCTCACAAGATATGATATCTTGCCAAAAGCCTTGACTTCTCTAGAAATGTAATTCTTGTAAGCTCCTTGCCTTCTATTCTTAAACTAAAAAGGCACCTCTATCAGGTTAGCTAAAAACTTCAAACTAGGCCTTAAGGAAACACTCAAGACTTCTCTTTTAAGCCTACTTGACCTTTGGGATCTGCTTCAGCAGCTCAAGGACACATGGGGCTAGGAAGGGGTGGTTTGAAAAACATCAAACAACTTAGCTGGCTGGAATCTGATCACACTTTTGCTTTAGCGTGCAAACACAGGTTTTATTTGAAGATAGGAAGGAGTGTTATGTGACTAGGGAGAAGGGGAGATGGAGGGGGAGGTAGTAAAGGAGGGATTGACCCAAACAAACTTTTGTCTGTCCTTCAGAAGATGCAGTCTTAGCTCTCTTGTTGGCATGGAAGTTGATTTCTACGACATAAGGTTTTAAAAGCTAAGCATCTAGGCCTAAGACTGTGTTATGTACAAAACTTTAGTCTCCTAGTTTCCTTGGGCACTCTTCGTGCTTTTTTTTTTCTAGACTCTACTGTACTAATTTACAAAATTTTCAAGAAATTAGATGTGTGTCTCCATCTGAATAAAAGACATGCAGAGCCTGAGGTAGTGTACTTAGTAACAGAAATTACATTTGCACTCATTCTTCATGTCAGGCAGGTGTTGCTATTTTCCAAGGTATGTGAAGTTTAAATGTCAACAGAAGGATGTTGCTTGCACAGAGGGAGAGAAGTATGAATGCTTAACTGTGGTACTGCATCAACAGAAGGTGCCTGGTGAGTTTGTCACTGGCTTGTGCCAGGGGGCAAGCAGGGCCTGACTGGAAGGACAAGGCCAGTCAGGCTGTTCTCAGTACCCCCGCTTGGCTGGGTTCCCTCTTATGGACATCTCCAGTGGAAAGTACAAATGAGTGGTCAAAGTATCAACTACCTTTGCAAAAGCAGTACTATGAAAAATAACAATAGTTTTGATACCTGATCTATTGTGGACCTCAAAGCAATCAGATCTTGAACTGCATTTATTACTGATGTAGTGTCCTATGTAGGTATGCTGGCAGTCTAGAACTGTTCCTGGTATTAAAGACTCAGGTTTGATACATTTTCATTATTTAAGAAGAAAAGAGAGCTTTTACCTTGATGGCAGTACTGCTCAAGGAAAGACATCTGCATTCTGTAAATGACTACAGTGAACTAAGAAGTGTGGCCAGCAGGTCAGGGGAAGTGATTCTGCCCCTCTATTCCACTGTCACAAAATCCCACCTAGAGTACTGCTTCCATTTCTAGGGTCCTCAGTGCAGGAATGACATAAACCTGTTGGAGCAAATTCAGAGAAGAGTCATGAGATAATTAGAGAGAAGGGCCTCTCCTATGAAGAAAGGCTGAGAAAATTCGTATTGTTCAGCCTGGAGAAGAGAAGGCTCTGGGGAGACCTTAGAAGCCCCTTCCAGTACCTAAAGGGGCTACAAGAGAGCTGGAAAGGGACTTTTTACAGGGCTATGTAAGTGATAGAACAGGGGGAATGGCTTTAAACTGAAAGGCAGTAGGTTTACATTGGATATGACGAAGAAATTCTTCACTGCGAGGGTGATGAAGCACTAGAACATGTTGCTCAGGGAAACCGTGGATGTCCCATTCCTGAAAGTATTCAAGGCTAGGCTGGATGGGGCTTTGACCAATCTCTTGGATTGGTCTATTGGAATGGGTCCCTGCCCATGGTAGAAGGGTTGGACTAGATGTTTAAAAGGTCCCTTCCAACACAAACTGTTGCCCACACACATGGGGAGAAATTGGAATGTCTCTTTAGTTTCAGGAGCTGTTTGAAGTATGCTTTTGAATGCTGAAATAAAGAACAAATGAAAACATAAGATGTGTGATATCCAATATCTGATGAGATGTTACAGTCTGTGTAAGATTGGGCCATAGATACTATTCTAGTAGTGTGCTGATAACAGTAGATTTCTACTTTATAATGACCTTTTTTGAAACTCATTACATACTTCATAGCATGATGAAAAGCAGGCTATCAGTTTTTCTTAGCAGAAAGCTAGGATGTATTTCTAGATTCTAGGGGTGCAGTATATCCAAATGTGTACTTTTGTAAAACACATGCTTTGCTTAGAACATGAAGGTATGCCTGTAGCTACAGTACTGACATTCTACAAAGAGAAGAGAACATGTAAGCACCATTAAATCCAGATATTCTTCACTGAATACTTCTGTCTTTTTTTTTTCCCTCAGGTGTGATGCATAATGATCTTTGAACAAGTGCATGTACAAACTTACTAAAGATGTCTGTTCCAAGTCAACACCATTCCATTATAATTAACCCTCCTCCACCAGAATACCTAAATAACAAAAGTAGTGGTTGTCAGACAAACCAACTCCAGTACTTACGGAGGGTGGTCATGAAAGCCATGTGGAGACACAACTATTCCTGGCCATTTCACCAGCCTGTGGATGCAGCAGCGCTGAATCTTCCTGTAAGAACCATTTTGGAATAAGAGTATTAATAAGTAAAATATTTAGAGGACTTCTGAATTAATGTTAGTTGAAAACAGCTTTTTTCTGATGCAACAGGTTATGGAAGACTATTTTTGCATTTGAACTGCTGTCTACAAGAAAATTGTTTTCTTACTAGAGAAATGCTGCATTTTTTCTAATTTGTGTTCTGTACTGAGGCTAGAAAATTTGTATTTTGAAGGGATAATAATAATGCTTAGATAAGCCTCTCAGAGTTTCTGGATATTGGTGTTATCTGTCTTGTTGTCTTCTGGTTTAGACATTTATTAACACTGAATATGGTGAGTATTTTCTTTTGCCTTTGAGTTTTTTATTTTTAATGAGGCAGCCTCAATGTCAAATACTTTATGATGGGAAAGCAGATCTGACTGACCCTGAAGTAAATAGGCAAATCTGGATCCATTTTGATGCATAGAAGTCATTACACTTGCAGTATTTGTTAATTTCAAATCATCTTGCTCTGAAGTTTCTAGAGGAATTAAATGTCCCTGTAAAAATAGGGAAGAAAAGAAGAGATATGATTGTCATAATATCACAGTGGTAGACCATACTTCTAGGAAATAGTTACGATGGTAAATTCCTGTTCCGTGTTGCCATGTGGGTTTTATTTTTGTTAAAACTTAATTGTAATAAAGTGCATGTGTATAATGTCTTGTGATAAATTGTTTTAATTCAGGTATCTTTAGACTCCAGTTTTGGATGTTTTTCAGTCAAATGAAAACACAGGTTATTGACACAATGGTATTTCAATGACCTGGAAGATACCGCTCTTAGTAGATAAGTAGAAAGGTGTTAAATAAAACCATGATATGTTTCCTTTGAATGTTTTTTTTGTCCTCTCCACCAGCTTAAGCATTCATATTTAGTTCTTTTATGTTTCCAAGACTAATTGTACAAAATCATTTGTTCTGTTCAGAGCAGACAAAAGCCTTTATCTGTGGTTGTTTTCTTGTGACAAACTAATTTGGTCACTTTGTACAGCACAGTCAAAGTGACTATCTTCCTGTGTCTTTTCTTACCCTTTTTCCTTCTTGGAAGGAGCTGTCAGTTAAGGTTAATATTAAGGGTCATTCCATCAGAGCTGTAGCAACATTTGCAGCTGGCTTCAGGCCAGTTCTGCCTCTCTGGATTTCTAAGGCAGCCTCTTGACTTCTAGGAGTATGTGTTAGTTCAACCATTGCACAATAACAGGCAAATGTCTGGCTCCATGGCAAGGACAATAAAGGTATTTGCCCCATTCGTCTCTCTCCCCCAGATACTAGAATCTTCTAATGGCAGAATGGACAATAATTATTAGCTGCATTATTTAAAAGTTTTCTTGGTTTTGTTTTGGTAAATTCAATAGTCTACACTATAATGTATTTAGCTTTTTTATTTCACTAACACAGATTGTTAGGACAGCTTTAGAACACTCTTGAAGTAGTTGTAACTTCACACAATTATAAAGTGTATGTGAACTTAGTGGGGATATTTCTGTTCCAGTTTCTTAAATGCACCATCAGGGAATTAGCCTCATGTTCTTACCCACAAGCTTTTAGCCATGCTACTAAAATAATCACAATAGTTCACATTCCAGCTGCCTTTCAGTCATTGCCACATGTTCACTAGACTAACCCTGAGAGGAGAGCTAGTATAACCCAGGCAATAAAGTATTTGGACATCAATTGTGAAAACTTGGCAGCTTTCTTTGTTAGTGGCTGAGACTTTGTCTCTGTCCAAGTTTGTCTTTGGCTTCTTTTTCCACTGTTCTGTAAACTAGAGTGCTACTTCAGGCAAATGGCTTTGAGATAACAAATGAGAAGTGTGTATACTTTTCATAAGTATTATTACCAGGAGAGCTCTGGATTCTATTGAAATAAATATTCTTTGGGGCTTTGAATAGTGTATGTTATATGAAAGAACAAGGAGGAAATACAAGGTGAAGAGTTCCTGACCACTTTTTTGGTACCTATGGCTACAGGGGAAAGTTTTCCTTTACATAAAATATTGCTTCTAACATAATGCAGTTCTCCTCTCTTGCAATTCAACTTTCATAGCTAAATGTGTAAAAATCTTAATGTCCTAATATTAAGGTACCTGTTTAGTGACTTATTCTTTCAATACCACAGGATTATTACAGTATTATAAAGAAACCTATGGACTTAGGCACCATAAAAAAGCGTCTGGAACACAATTACTACACAAAAGCTGCAGAATGCATTGAAGACTTTAAAACTATGTTCTTGAATTGCTACATGTATAACAAGGTATGGGAAACACAGCCTCTTACCAGTAACTGATTCTACTGAACAATCCAAACAAGTCTAAAACAAGCAAATGGTTATCAGAACTTGCACTAAGTCAATGTCTTCATGATTTTTTTTGAAACTATTTTCTCTGAAAGGAGAAGAGGCTTTTTTGCTAGGATTGACTGAAGGCATGTAAGTAAAGTCTCCCTTGCTGTTACAACAACTGAATGTTGTACAAGGATTACACCTCCAAAGTCTCTGGGTTATAGCTGTACAGCTCAATCTGCAAGTGCTGTGTAACTCCTGTACAAGTTGAACACTAGCAACCATGAGCCATGCTCTGTTCCTCCCGTAAGTTTAACCTAATGAAGTGTGAGCATCTCCCTGTGCTTGGATGTTTTTTGGCTGTGTCTCAGTATCTTTGAGCTTCACCAGCTTTCTTCAGGACACAGTAGTAAATAAGGGAGTTGAAGATCTGCCCCCTTTTCCCTTTGCTGTAGATGTATGGGATGGAAAAAAGGACTGTGCAATGGGATGGTGGGAGAAAAAGTATTTCAATAGTGAAGTAATTTGTTTTAAAGTGAATTGTGGAGGTGGGGATGGCAAGAACTTCTAGACCTCTCTGGTACTGGTGGCTTTCTTCAATCTGTTGGAGCAGGATTCTGTAGTCTGGTTATTTTATGAGGCAGCCCCCACTACTGCAGTCGCTCCTTTACTGAGTGTTACTGACCATATTTTGCAGCCAGGTGATGACATTGTGTTTATGGCTGAAGAACTAGAAAAAGTCTTTATGCAGAAAATAGCCCAAATGCCACCAGAAGAAACACTAGTAAGTCTCAATAAAGGAAAAAAAAAAGGAAAGAAGCCAGAAGGTAAGGCCTGTGTTTTATGCTGAATTGTTAACATACCAAGCAAGCAAAAGCTGGAAACAGGGAATCCTCTTTGTCACAACTCAACCCTTGAGCAGCTGGGGTGTTTTCTACTCTTTCCAGAACAATCAGACAAGTAACAATACTGCTATAAGGCTTTAGAAGATTTATATTTTTTAAAAAAGACAACTGATTTCCATTTCAGAAAATGTCATAGCGCTGCTCAGTGTTGTGTTATATAAACTAATAGGTGTGAACATCTATGGGAACTAAACAGAATAACAGCTGGAAAACACATTAGTAATCTAACCAGCCAAAGTAAATACTGAAAAACTTTGGTCTAAACTGTTCTCAGATCAGTGGTGGAGGGCTGTAATACTGCTCAGCCATATATGCAGGCATTAGCTATGCTTAGGAAACTTGAACCTTCGTGATGCAGCTTGCACGCTTTGCTGCTTGGTCTTTAACGTGTTTGTAGAAAAGAACTTGATTCTCTTCTTGGCAAGAACGGTTTTACAACGTACAGCATATAGTATGATGCCTTTTTAATCTTTTGTCTGAGGTTAATCCACAGCTTTCTTGAAGCCAAATAATGTGGAACTTGGTACAATATTCTAGCTGAGGCACTAATGGTGCTGACGAGGATATCAATGTTGCTATAAGTAACAACTGCTCTTGTTTGTATTTATTTGTACCACTTGTGTGTGGAAGAGAGGTTTTGCTGACAACTGTTCAGTTTGACCATGAAAGAAATTAACTGCAACATTTAAGACCTAACTTTTAAAATTTCCTGTATTAAAATAACCAGAAACACAGCAGCCCATCCCTGGGACTTCAAATGAACAAAGCACAAATCAGACACAAGCTGAAAGTGGTGAACAGCCTCCAGTGATGACTCAAGAGCGACAGCAGATTCCACTGACTCCTTTGTCTGCAGCCCAGCCAACTGCTTTAATGCCAGCTGCAGTCCCTATAACAAAAGTAAGTTTCCTCAAATAACCTTCAGAAGAAAGATATTGAAATTGCTCCTTCAGGCATTAACAGCAAAACCTAAGGAGCTAGGCTTATTGCAATATCTTTTCAAAACTTCTATTGTGATAGAAGACAGTAAAAAACCTCTATTAAATCTTCTAGGTCTCTGCTAAATAACTGGGCCAGTACTAATTCTAGAAACTAAGTGGAAATTGGGATGACTGCTTGGTACATCTTTTCTTATAAATGTGGTTTTAAAATGTTGTTCTCAAAGAAACAAAATGAACTTTAAAATGGTCATTTTTGAAGAGTATTACTATTCTTCTGCAGGCTTTATCTTGATGCAGGAAACTGTGCTTTCCTTGAGGAAACAATGAGGCTACCTTGAGGATAATGGTTTGAGTACTAAAATAAAGCTCTATTTAATAAGTTCTCATGTTTTCAATGTAAATCAAATGCTTGATTCTCCAAAAATAGCATGTTTGCTTGAACACTGGGTAACTAGTCTGGAAGATGTCTGTAGCTCACAAAAGCAAATTCTTGTTAACTGCAATCTTAATGTGAACATCTGACACTTTCATCAGAAAAACTCTCTTGTATTGACTTGGTTTTGTTTTGCTCTTCCAAAGAGGAATAGGCACCTCTGGCAGCCTCTCCTACAGTGTACACACTTCACTCAAGAGGAGTCTGAACACCGATGACAAAGCACATATTGTATTGCTTCCAAACCAAATACTACCCAGGTTAAAGTAAAATAAAGATAAACCTTGTACACAAAGCCCACAACCGGGCCTCAAATAAATAGCAGTAGTTTTCCCCTTTGTGTTGCAGTCAGCTTGTGGGTAACTTCATAACCTACCAGCTTCCTGGAATACTCTTGAATGGCTAAAAACTGACCACAACCTGACTTGCAGTACATCCCATTCTTTCCTTTAAATCTAAGGTTCAGCTTGGTGTGCTGATCTTGTAATAACTTGTAGGTTTTCAGTCTAAACTTGTAGAAGTGCCACATTCTGCTCTGACTTCAATAGCTGTTAAAGCTCTGACATTTTTTTAGATTATTCTTTTTGTGTGTGTGTGTGTAGTCTGAAAACTGACCATTCTCTCACTGCTCTGGACACCTGTATATTTTTTTCTTTTCCTAGGCAAAAAAAGGTGTGAAAAGGAAGGCTGACACTACAACTCCTACTACTTCAATAGTCACAGCAACTGGTGAATTTTCTGCTATGTTTAATGAAAGAAAAGCTGTTAAAGCAAGCAGAGGTGAAAATGAACATATGGTAACAAATAAGCTTCTGAAGAGATCCTTGCCACATTCTCAACAGTCACCTGGAATTATTAAAAAGATTCAGTTGTCAGAAAAATTAAAGCATTGTAATGCAATACTTAAAGAAATGTTTTCAAAGAAACATGCAGCATATGCGTGGCCTTTCCTAAAACCTGTAGATGAGGCATCTTTCTCCACTGGTGAGAACCAAGGCATTGCCAAATGTCCTACAGACCTAAGAACCATCAAAGTAAGTGTGTTTCTGGGGAAATTAGACTGTTTGTATGTTGCTTGAGTAACTTGTGCAATTACAAGATTTTAGATGTGTTAGCTGAAAAGGTGTCATGAAAGCTGCTTCTCCTTTGAAAGAAAAAATGGGCACAGAATCCAGATACACTTACATGTCTCAAACTTAGCCACAGGTCACTGAAGAAAGTTTAAGTCTCATTGTGACTATGCACATAGTGGCTAATTTACTTACCCAGTGAACAAGTCAATATAAGGAGTGAGGGAATTATGAAGCCCTTCCAAGCAGGCTGCATGTTAAATATCTCTGTTTGTACATACAGTGCTGTTGTTAATGCCCTGTAAAACAAAATGCAATTCTATTATGTCAACTTCTGCTTCTCTCTGAATCTCAGTATCCTTGGTGAAGTGCCATGAAACCTCAACACTGGATATTTATGTGGCACTTTTCACCTTTTTTGTGAAAAGCAACCCTTCTAGATGGAGATATGTGGACAGTGTTCTGTAAACACTGGGCACATCTCTATGGGGTTAAAGTATAGCCCAGTTAAGCTCCACTTTTTCTTTTTTTTTTTTTTTTAGGGGGGGAGAGGGGGTTTGAATTTAAATCATTTACTGAATTACCTTGAAAACTGGTATGCACAATATAAAGGTTATTTCCCAATTTCTAGCCCATTAGGACTCCAGCTATTATGGAACAAGCTTTGTGTAAATACCATGCTTAGAATCAAAAATGGGTGCTGAGGACATAACCAAATAAAGTCACTCAAATATTGTTGTCTTAACCTAGTGCTGAAACTAGTACTACACAGTCCTTCCAGCAATTACAATCAATAAATCTGTTAAAGAGGAAAAAAAAAATCTTTGTTAAAGGGACAATGTTAAAGTGAGAAGCAGGTCTTTCCATAATTTTTTTATACAATATTTACTGTCTTGATACAAGCTGAACGTGAATCTGTATGTCAAAATTCTTGTACTCTCCTCTTTTTGTACCGGTTCATGGTAATGCTCTCTACTAAACATGCATTATTTTCCTTTTCTTCTAGAAGAAAATGGATAACTTTGAATATAGTGACATACAAGAATTTGCTACAGATGTTAGATTAATGTTCATGAGCTGCTACAAACATAATTCTCCAGATCATGAAATAGTTGCCATGGCAAGAAAACTTCAGGTGAGTTCTCTCTTAAGTCAGACTTGAAAAAGAGTAGGTCATTTCATGCCCTGATGTAGAATCTACTAATGTTATTGAACTACTGTGTTGCTGTGTAGTTCTAGAGGACAAGTAGTAACTTCATAACGCTTTTAGAAATCTGAAAAGTATGCTGTTCCCAAACCTAACTCTTCAGGATGTTTTTGAAATGCACTTTGCCAAAATTCCTGATGAACCTGTTGGAAGTGCTCATCTGCCACAGCCTGTGAGAGAAATGAAAGAAGCTTATTCCAGTGAAAGTAGTAATGATGACTCTTCAGAAGAAAAATCATCTGAAGACTCTGAAGAGGAAAAAAGAGTGCACCTTGCAAAGCTTCAGGAGCAAGTGAGCATTAGTACTTAATGTGCACAACTTAAGATCTCTCTGACACTGCCACTTTGATTTGTCCATTCTAAGGCTTAGCATCAAAAACCAGTTTTAAGAGATTCTAGTAATTTATTTCCTCTTTGGAAGCACCATCAAAGGTTAAGAATTGTGCCTCAGCAAATGCAAAGTGGGTTTAGTGAATAATTGTTCCACTACTCTTGCCTACCACTTCTTCAGATGACTCTCAAACTTTAAAAAAAATGAAACTGTTCCTGTGGTATGATGAGAGCCTCCAGACACTCCACATGTAGCTTAGTGGCATATTCTTCCAACAGGGGCATTTCTTTCATATGGCTGAAGAGCTCTGTTCTTACCCTCTGTCTCTCTTGAGCCACACAAAAGCAAGCCATTTTTTTCTACTTCAGAAAGCTCAGTATGAGAGAACAGAAGGAATCTCATGCTAACCAGTGAAGCAAAGCCGTGCTTCATATTAAGAGTGGGATGGGTCTTGTTTCTGCTTGAACATAATCTTTTAACCTGTTGCTTCTGTATCTGAAAACTCTGGGGGAAATCAGCATTTGTTCTGCTTGTCAAATAAGGGACAGTTTTCAGTACTTGTCAGATGAGCAGATAAATCATCAATTTACGAGTGTAGGCAGGAAGACAAGCAAGTGTACAAGCCAGCCTTTGCTGCAGTAGTTCAGTATGTCTGAATTCTAATTCTCATCACCTGACCATCTTCCAGTTCCTGAGATTTAAAAAAAGTTGTGTTAAGTTTTTCTCCTAAATTCCTAGTATGTCCTAACTAGCCATCTTATATTGCAAACTAAGATGCATGAGCCCAGTCCCACTAGCCTAATTTGTCAGTGCTGTAAGAAATAGAACCTAATAAGGCACTTATGTGCATCCCAAGTGCTTGAAATTAAAGAGAGGATGCTGGAAGCTCCTAGAGTGATTTTTTTTTTTCTTTTTTTTTTCTCTTTTTTTCTTTTTTCACTCTTGACAGAATGTTAGAAAACACATACCGCTAGAAATGTCTGCATAAAATAAGTAACCCTACATCTTCTAGGTGGATAGTCTGTGACTAAGCTACAATATAGTAAGATGTTTGGAAAATAAATCTCATTAGGAAAGCAGACATTCTATTAATATCACTCAGCTGCCACGAATATCCTGTGATATTTATGACCAGTTTATTGTTCCTTCTACATTGCCCAAGATTATCAGCTTTTTTTTTCCTTTGATAGCTTAAAGCTCTTCACCAGCAGTTGTGGGTTTTGACCAAAGCATGTTTATCTAGACCAGAAAAGAAAAAAGGGAAGGCTAAAAGTGAGAAAAGAAAGAACAAGGAAAAAGCTAAAATAAAAAGCTTGATTCAAAAGAAGAAAAATCTGAAACACAAGAAGAAATCTAAGAAAAAACTCTCTTCAAACATGTAAGTGTGAGGGAATTGTGTGGGTGTCTAATTATTTCAAACTGTTGTTACTGCAGTATATTTTTTTCCTGCAGTCAATCAAAGAAAACCATGCAGCAGGTCTTGTTGGCACATAAATCAGAAGATGAAGATGCTGCCAAACCTATGAATTATGATGAAAAACGACAGTTGAGTTTGGACATAAATAAACTCCCTGGAGATAAGCTTGGGAAAGTAGTCCATATAATACAGTCAAGAGAACCTGCACTGAGGAACTCCAACCCTGATGAGATAGAAATAGACTTTGAAACTTTAAATGCTTCAACACTCAGAGAACTAGAGAAATACGTGGCAACCTGTTTGAGGAAAAGACAAAGAAAGCAGCAGGGTATGTAGTATAAATGATGCTTAAAAAACCCCCCACTAGATTTTTTTTCTTGTTTGCTTCCATGTTAACTTCTGTTTCACATGCAGCTAAAAAACCAACGAAGTCAAAAGAACTACTTAATTCTGAGAGGAAACAAGAGCTAGAGAAGAGACTACTGGATGTCAATGGCCAACTAAAGCCAAAGAAGAACATCAAGTGTAATGTGGCTCTTTTACTCATTTGGAATGGAAATAGCTTAAAATGGAATTCTTCCCTTGAGCTTAAGTGCTGTTATGCAGCTGGGGACTTTCTCCTCAGAATAGCTGGGGTCTTAAACTTCCCATTGCTAGTCTTAAGATTCTTCCTATGTTGAGTGAGCTGGAGTCACAGCAGCAAATCTGGCCAGTTACTTGTCCTGTCTAAAGCACTTTCCTTATTATTGCACCTAATACTTCATTACAGGTAAAGGTGGGAATGACTTCAGAACTTAAGCAACACTGAACAACTCCTTTATACTGACATATGAAAACATGGTGGGGAGTGGGGAGGGTCACACAGTCTCTTTGATCATAATTCACTTTCTACAGTTTAGAGACTCAAGAATAACCAACGCTAGTCATGCTTGTTAGATGGCAGTCTCACTAATGCTGTCACACTAGCAAAATTTCTGTGTCAATGACAGGTGTCTGTGTTACCTTAGACTTAAGGAAGTATCCTAGGAGAATCAATTCAGTTTTTCAGGCAATAATGAGTTTTGAGATCAAAGCCAGAAATTTAGTACACACTTGAGCTGTACACTTACTGGTGGTTCTCATCAGAGGCTGAGAATGGATCAATGCAGCTGATGCTACTATTATAGGTCAAGCTGTTCCTCATTAAACCACTGAGTGCTATTATTGCCCTCCATTGGATATCTATTTAGCTCCTGCGTGAAACCAGTTAGCTGAAATGATGGAAGCATCCTTGCAAGACACAGGCTTGCATCCAGCATTAGCATTAGCTCAGTCAGGTCTTCCTGTCTGGTATACATAATGGCTTGAAAACACTCTAAAAAGAAAAGCCTGAAGAAGCAGCTGAAATCAATTGGGAACTATATGCTGTGGGCAGAGGTAAGAGGCAGGGTAGGGAATCTTTACAGCTGGCATCTAGCTTGTTTACGAGAGCTTAATCTGGCATTTAACAAAGACTCGTGTCCAGGGAAACAGCTATCCATGTAACTTCTCATTTGCAAAGCTTCCATCAGAGCAACAACTTGGAAAAAGCTTTGACTGTAAAATCCCTATAAGCTGAGTTAAATCAACCCTGCAGATGCTAAATAGTCAGATGGCGGGGAGGTGGCGAAAGATGGCAATTCTGGAGTACACATGGCTTGGGAAAGAAGAGTTGGCTGTAGATAAAGACCTCAGCATGCAAGTCTAGCAGCAGCAACATGCACATAAACAGTCACTTAACAGCAGGAAAGCTTATGGGGGAAAATTGCTTGAATTGTGTCATAAGACAGCATAGTTTTAATTTACTTGAGGATTGTAAATCATGTGACTACAGCTCCTCCCTGGATATTTCAGTTATTCAACTAGGAAATACCCCTCCTTTCCTCTGTAGAGGGAGGCCTTTTTTTCTCCGTGGACAAGGAAGTGGAATAAGATGAACTGTTACATGGGAGAAAAGACCTAACAAGGTTGATCCTAGTCTTGTGTATGAAGAATGCTCCACTGCTGGTTGTTCTGAATTCTTTCTTTTTCTCCTGCAGTTGAAAACACTGAGTCCAGTACTGGACCAAGCAGACTGAGTGACAGCAGCAGCTCCTCAGATTCTGACAGCAGCACTAGCAGCGGTTCTAGCTCCTCAGATAGCAGTGACTCCGAATCAGGTCAGAAACCTTACTTTTGTGTTTGTAGACAAAACATCTGCCCTCTCAGTTAGCATTTACTGTTCCATGTGCTTACCAAGGATTTTAGTTATCCTTGTAGGTTTGCTCTGTTTTGAAGGCTCAATTGCAGTGCTTTTAAATCAATGTCTTAATACTGAGTTTCTAGGTAAAAACAAAACAAAAACCAAGGACAAAACAAACAAACCCCACTACAACATCCATTCAACTTCTCAGTGAAAATCTTTAGAGACTAAAATAAGCTAACAAAAGGTCTGGGTATCTAGCCTGGACACTTGACCATTGGGCTATAGCTTACTCTTGTAGTTTTGACTTGGTTTTGAAAGTGTGATTCACTTTACTTTCATCTTCTGGTCTGCAGCATAAAGGATGCCTTACCCTAGGGTAAGACTTAGTCCCTAAGCTGAGAAATACAAATGCCTACAGCACTGACTGTAGAGCCAAAGTCCACCATGGTGCTTAAGCTGTCTCAAATTTGTATACAAAACTCTCTTTAGTTTTCTAGGACAGAATAGAGCTGCCAAACTGGAGGTCTACCATGTAGATATCTGTGTGAGGTATAAGGTGAGATGAATGCTCAACCTTCTGTAATGTGGGGAAGCAAACACAGTGAAGTCAATGGCAGCGAAGACCCTTGATCCCACAGGAATCTTTGTGGTGTTTTTATATCTGGGAGAAATTCTCTAAATGCATCAAGCTAAGTATTCAAGATAAGAATCTTCCTTTCACTGTGAGGTTTGGCTCTCTGGGTACAACTGCAACTCACACCTTGTAGATGTGAATAATGTAACATATGTGAACGACTGATTTGGTTTTTTCCATCCTCCTCTTTCTGCCCACCTCACTGTATTTACAGCTACAGAAACCTGTTCAAAACAAACTGGAGCCAGGCAAAACTGTCCAGCTTCTACGGAAAAGTCTAAGGTAAACTGACTGGAATGGATGTAATATTTTTGCCCTAAACAAATTTAACATACAATGGTATTGGAAATTACACAACTTTATCAGGAAATAATGAATATGGCTTGAATGTTATTTGTTCTGTAGGACTGAGTTACATGAAGATGTCAAATCTGCTGGGTTTTTTTAAAGTAGTTTATGCATCTGTATATAAACTGATGTCATGGGAGAACTCCTGAGCCTTTTACCTTTTATAATCCTCGTGGTCATTATGTGTTGGGGGAAGAAGAGGGGGAGAATGCTGCCTGCACACCCCCAAAAAAGTCAAATCCTCTCCAAATTGATCTTTGAGTATACATGAGCCAATAAGCAGTGCAAGCCTCACTTAAATGTTTTTTCTTTATCTATGAACAACCTCACTTCTACATCTGAAAATAAATAAATTGTACGATATATCACTTATTTTCAGGATACTTTAATATTGTTTATTACTATGGTATTATTATAGCCATCAGCAGTTTTATCCAGAAATAATTTTTAATGGCTCTTACATTGAATTGCTCTATTCCTGTATATACATTGGGTGTTATTTCTTGTCAGGGTTAACTGCCTTTTACAATTTGCCTTCAAGCTGCCAAAGACAGACCTTGAATTTCAAAGCAATATTGCAGCAAAGCCTTCATTCTTTTTGCAATAGGTTTGCTTTCCCTTAAAGTACAGGAAACTAGGCTGCAAATTTATTATTCAGCTGCTCCTTCTACATCTTCATAAGTAAAGACTGAGAAGAGGAATTATGCAACACACTTTTTTTGCTTAAGAAGAGCAGCCTCTGTAGTGACAGAATGACAGCAATAAACTTGAGAAAACAGGATCCAAGAAATAAGCTTCAGTTTGGTCAGTTGTAACAGCCCCTTACCGACTTTCTGAGTAACAACAAACATCACACTTCAAATCCTCACATCACGTTTTGTTCTCAGGAGTTTTCTGTATCTGTCAACCAAGGTAGTAAGTGCATTTTACCTCATGTCTCTTTGTCATCTAAACTCTTAAAAAAATGCTGGATAAGTATCACAATACAAGGACTACTGAATCTGATAAACAGTGGAAATGGGAGCAGTGGTGGGGAAAGGGGATCAAAACACTATTAAAAAGAAAAAGATTTGGCTGTATTAACTACCATAACCTCTTTATAGAGAATACCACTTTGTTTACAGAGGACATCCTGCAATGCTGTTCTGCAAGCACAGCACTCATCTGTTACTAGTAGCTTGCAAAATCATGGATCATCTGAGCTGCAGCAGCCACCTCCCAATGTACAGCAGAGGCTCCAGCCTTTACAGAATAGATCACTTAAGCCACCAGAACAAAATGCCTTCTCTCCCTCAGGTAACACCTTTATGGCTATATTTGACTGCCGAGGGAAGAATGGGTGCCAGGATGCTTGTAATGCCCAATAAGTTTATCTTGGAATTTTGGAGGCTATCAAGTGGATATGAGAAAAAATTCTTGCAGGGTACGGATTGCAAAGAGCATGATGTAAACTAAAGCATGGCAGCACTGAGGATTGGCTAGAGTTTCAGATTGTGGTGGGACAGAGTAGTATTCAAACAGGAGGAGGTGTTCAGATGGAAAAGGATACCTTAATGAACCTAGAGTTACAGGAAGTGCTGAACACCTTAAGGCAGGAATTAGATGCTTAAACCCATCACCACTACTCAAGCTCAGGTCCTATTAGCTGAATTTAAGACTTGTTGCCATAGGTCCTCTAAATTGATTGCTGTTGTCTAGACATATCAAATATACGAAGTTGCTTAGGAACTTGATCCAAGGAGCTTTTCTTTTCCCTCCCTCATTTCAAAAGGTCTAATAACATCAGACACTTCTGAAGTTTTGGTAAAAGACAGCTTGAGCTGGTAGCTGATTAACTGAGAAATCAATTAAAATCTGATTAAAAATAACTCTTAAATTGTGCAGCTAGCATACATATCTTCATGCTAAGTTAATCCACAGATCTAAACAGTGACCTAATTTTGGGATGTAGGACTGCACTTTGTATGATAGGGGAAAATCATACTCTACTTCTTTCTCAGGTATAATCTCAGCTGTTTGTGCTCCGTATGATGCTCCAGACCAGCAAACTCCTCAGAGTACTCCAAAGACAAATCAGTCTTTTGTCACTCAGTCCAGACATGCTCTTCCAGAGGTGAATATGTGCTTCTCTCCAATGAATTAATTTCAAATAATGTCTTTAAAGCATGTTCTTACTCCTTTAAATAAGATATAATATAGTACTTCAGGCTTGAATGTGATGTGACGAAGGCCATTTAAGGTTTAGAACAAAAGTTTTCTAAAACCCTACTAACAAAGTAATTCTTATCCTTTAACAGGGCATTACTTCATTGCCTGTTGGCTGCAACACAAAAGGAAAGTTTGTCCAATCAAGTTTATGGTGTACTATAAAACTTATTTCTTTTTAGGGCTATAGCTTGGACTTAAGTAACCCTTGCACGCTTACAGGCTAAAAGTCCACCCTGTAAACCTACAGCTTCACAAAACAGACAGGCAGCTTATAACAGATGATTTGGTTTTCTAGAAATATCAATTTCACAAACTCAGTAATACTATGAAGGCTCTATAGGCTATACTGGAAAAGTGTGTTGCTTTTTATTCCTTTTCCTAAAGCTATGGAAACTGGGGCTTTCAGGGTCTAGATGAGGTTGTGAAATATTTAGTCACTGTTAATTTCTATCCCAATATGTTCTTGGAGAGTATCCTGGTTAGAAGGGCCTCCATGTAACAAAGGGAGTTATCAATGTTACTGCAGCATGATCTCTTCCATCTTAAGGTGTTTAACGGTCTTTCTCAACATGGTTGAAAATTTACCTGCTTTAGTGAGGCTGTAGTAGCTTTTGCTTTCAGAAATTAATAGAAACTACCTCTTGAATGTATGAGCACAAGAATGTATCCTGTAAGTAAGGAAGAAAAGCAGCTCACCCTTTCCCATTGGTGTCCACTGTCCAAGATAGCAAGTAGTGTATATTATGACTCAGGTTTCTGCAACACCTTCCTCAGTTCTAGGGATTACTGCACAGAGGAAAAAATACAACTGAAGATCACAGTTGACTCTGAACCACAAGCTAGAGTGCAGCAACTGGCTTTATGACAACTTCATTCTGTTGTACTGTGTTAAGGGTTAAAGATCTTGGATCAGTTTCTCATGCTCTGCCCACTCCATCACTCAGGATGGCTGAGCGGAACAGATTCTAAATCCAAAGTCTGGATGTATGAACTTACTTTGGTTACCATAATGTGAATGAAATCTAATTCTTCCCTGCTGTTTACACGAGCTGGTGCTACACCAACTTACTACTCTAAACTTCTAAACCTTTAATCCTGATGCTGTATAATAAGAATCCACATATGCTAAAGACACATTTTGAAGAACGTATTTTGAAGTCTAGCTTCTCTTCTAGGTATCCAACACAATCTCCCAGGCTGACAGTGCTGACTGGAGTAAACAAGCTGAGCAAACAAGACATCTAGACAAATCAAATAAACTTCAAAACAAGGCCAGTGTGAGAACTGCTGATTCAATATCCTTAAGTCAAAAACAAAGTATGTAGTGTCATAATAAAAACTGTAATTGATATTAGGAGTGCAAAGTTACAAATGTATTTGAACCTAGTTTAAAGAAATAAAATGCTGAGAACTTGTACATTAATCAGTTTGTACAATCTGTACAAACAAATTACAATCTGTAATTATCCAGAATAATGGAGGGAGTGATGTTTTCCCTTGCTCTTTCTTTTTGATTTGCTGCTTCAAAAAAAAAATTCAATGGATGTTTGGTTCTTGTTCTCTGTTAAAAATGTATAAAGCAAATTACTTTTTGGTGTAGTACTAAAGGAAGGAAGTCTGAGAACTGATGCTCCCATCTGTTGAACTTCACTGGACTTTAAAATATCTTCTGCTGGAGCTTCATGGAGTATTTTGAGTTATTATCTCTGGCTTTTGGTGACAAAAGTCTGACAGTAAATTAATGTCAAATAGACTTTCACCATGAAACAAACTTTCAGTTATTACAAGAACACAGGCCCTCTGAAAGGCATTCTATACTTCATACATCTTTCAAACTAAAGAATTGAACTGAATATCCATGCTGTGAGTCCAGTGTCACCAGACATGATTGTTTTGGTTCCTCCTTTACTCTTTGCCCTCTAGCTTACCTCTACAGGTTTAGACAGGGGACGGAACAAGCTTCTGAAAATGACAAATTAAAAGGCACAGTCTGCTCACTGATTAACTCTTTAATTTTTGCCAAAGAATAACGCTAGTTATTTGAATTGTATTAAAGCAGTTCTAAAACTGGAGATTTAATTTTCCATGGTGTTCTCTTCAGCATTTTCATGGTCTTAACACACCAATGCATGCATGTACTGCCCCTCACTTTGTTCGAACTTGCAGCAGCTCCACTTGGTCTGTGGCTTTAGTTAATCATTTTCAATTAAAAAGTTTTGAGGCTGTAAGGTCTTTCTGAAAACACCATTTATGACAAAATGAGTGAGGGTTTGATACTTTGCCTTTAGAATTCTGGATCCAAGCATCCAAAGACTTTTCCTTTGCATAATAAAAATATGCCAACATGTTACCTTAAGTTTCTTCTTAAGCATTCATGTAATTACTGAAACATCTCAAACTGCAGTAGAGGATCATTGCTGAATGACATAAAATATCTGTGGTGTTTATATCTGGTTTGAAAAAGTGTTTAGGTTTTTTTCCCCTCAAATAATAAAGAGGTAACAGCATGGAGCCTTTGTGCATCCTCTAGGCTACTGGAAATGTGATGACTAGCCCTTGCTGGCTGACCTATTTGCTTTGTTTAAAAAAACCCCAAAAAGTAAATAGGGTTGAGAGCTTTAGGCAAAATGAGTTTACATAATGAATGAGGTACCCTTAAATAATGCTGGAATCAAAGGGAAAGAGAGTTGGGAGGAAAAGGGGAGGAGGTAAGTGGCAAAGTGCTGCATTGAGACTTTCTGACCAAACTTATTGGGTGTTCCACTGGGGCCTTTCCTAGAATCAACCAGGAGTTAATTTCTCATCTATAGCTGAGCTAACTATCCCTTTCCCTGCCCAAAAGCAGAGAGAAGTGATTGATCCAGTTCAACTTAATCTTAGGAAATGTTTGGGAGAATTTTTGTCATTCTGAACCAAATAATAGTAAACTGCAGTGTAAGTTTATAAGTCATTCCTGGAATGACTGAAGTTTTATCATTTAAGTTTGAGGGAAATATATCCATAAAATCAACATGAGTGAAAAGCCTTTTTTTATTCTTCCATCAGGTCATTATACACCTGATGATAAACCTAATGATAAAAACATACTAGAGCCAAAATCTGAACTTCTTCCAAAAAAGGTAAGTGCTGATCAAGTTCTATTTGAGAGGAGGGTGAGTTTACTTACTAGGTTGAGTAACTTCCTGACTTAGGATCTTCTCTAAAAATCTGTTCTTTTACAATTAGAATATTTAGTGTAGGATTGGTCTCAGGCATCGTTATAATCTGTACAGATTTATCTGATTTTTAGCGTGAAAACCAAACAAATCTATAGGCTCTGGTCATTTCAGAAGGTACATGAGACATATATAAAATAACATATCCATGTTGTCATATAAAAATATGGCTTGTTTCATTTAGTTTTAATATTATATAGTTCTTATATCCAAGTTATTAGTGTGCTTTCCCTTGCGATCTGGTAACAAAAATAAGAGTAGTGTGGAATATAGTCTTGGGTACTATTGAAAAACCTGGTCTGAAATAAGACAAAGCCCTTTTAATGACTAAAGGTATTTATAAACGTTAAACAAATATTTCTTAGCATACAGTTTAAGTTATCTTAAGTGGAAGAACAGAGAAATTTTCTTATCTGTTAAATTCTTCTCTGGTAATCAGCTATTTGAAAACATTAAATCAAAATTACTAATAAAAGATCATTTTAGCTAATGGCCCTAAAAAGTTTTCTCTATAATCTGTTGAGCTAAAATGTTTCTAGAATTTTTCTTTAGGCACTTAGCTTTCAGAGAGCTATTAACTAACATATTGAATTCAATTCCAAAAATATGTATTTCCTTCATAAACACATGACCTTCTGCTAGAAGCAGGATTTCTTAATAATACTGGTTTTATGCTGTTTTCTGCTGTGAAGAAAATGCCACAGGGGAAACGAGGGTAACATGGGTATTTAAAACAAACAAAACCCACAAGCCTAATGCAAAACTATTGCTATGTAAGGACTACATACAGAGAGTAGGTGGATGTTTTCTGTATTAAAACATTGTCAACGGACCTTGTGTGAACTCAGCCTTGTGAATTCCTGTTTTCTGAAATGAAAAAAGAGAGGCAGACTTAAAGTGTAAGAATAGATACAAATACTAACAATTTTTAGCATATTGCTAAGGAATCTCAGAGTGGACGAGAAAATATATCCAAGTCTGTTCAGACTGTTATATTTGCAGTAATGTCCTACCAAAGGAAGGATATTTTGTTGTAGATATTTCCAAATAGAGCCAGTCAAAAAAATTTTTGCTAATGTAAGAACTGAGCAGGTAATGGATATTAGTAGTTGTACCATATTTTTGCTTCTGCTATGTTTTCCTTTTTCTAATAACTTCAGGATACAGGATTTAAGAATATAGATTCCTGGATAAGCCTGTGTAAAACAATGAAGCTTCCAGCTCCAATAAAAGCATCTGCTGAGAGCTTCAAACAGTTCAGAGAAGCTGTGTTAAAGAAGAGTGGGCAAGTGCCGGAGGAAAAAAGGCCTCTGGTGCAATCTGAGATGGAACTGCAAAACGTTCCACAGGGAAAAAAAAGGTTTGTAACACGTTCAAATATTATTCTGTTTTGTGCTTGTATGGTACTGGGTGGGTTAGTTATCAAGGAACAAGTGTTTTGGGTTAGGTAATGGCCACATATCAGACAAAGTCAGGAAGCTGTACCACTCCAAGCACAACGGTACATCCAAAATGCACAAAGCAGCTTTTTCCCATCAAATAAGTATTATTTCAGCAGTTAAATAAACTTTTTGGGAATTTCTTTTTTCATTGTTGTTGTTGTTAGTTTGATTTCTGTTTTGGTTTTGGATTTCTGGCGGGAAGGGGGGGGGGGGGGGGGAATTGTTTGGTTTCTGTTTGGGTACTAGGGTAGGAGTTTTTTTGTCCCCTAGAACACTCAATTCCTCTGGTCATGACCAGAATTCTCATTTGTCCTCAATATATTATTTCTCCTATAGCTGTAGCCAGGAATATCCTCATCTTACTGCTATCCTAGTGGGATATAGGATAATCTAGTCTTCAAGAACATGGTGTTAACATGGCTAAAGGGCTTCCAGTGCACACCACTTTTGGCAACAGAGTTCTTTGTATTGCTGTAGAGAAGCATATTACATAAGCCCCTGCTGTAGTATTCTTCCCTAGCTGTTTGCAGCCCCTCTTTTAGGGAGTGCCCATTTGTGTATCCCAGTCTGAGGTATATGGTTATGCTGAGTGGGATAAGTGACAGCCTACTAATTACTGCTTTGCAATAATATCCTGAATTTTGTTTGCCACCTTTTGGAAACTCTGTAATAGTTCCCCCTTCAGTAGTATAGATTTTTTTTCTTGTCTGTTTGACCCTGTGAAAGATAAGTCTCAACTGGTTCCTAAATTCTCCTGCTCTTGCCCATTGCTGGCTGTATTAGAACAGGTAAATTGTTTGGAGTGTATTATTTTAATGTTTAATATCTTATTATCTCAAGTCAGAGCATTTGAGAGACTTAAGAGTACACTCCTGGTTTACAACACATAGTGCAGTCCAGGCACCTTCAGCTGGTGTCTCTGAAGAGAAAATCAGGCATGTAGCTCTATGGAATAAGACATCACAGGTGTTTGCCTGAAGTTAGTGAAATATACCTCAAATAACTACTTGAGGAGGAAGAAGGTAGAAGAAAAACATTAGGGGCCAAGAAAGTAACAGAAAATTAAGAATTTCAAAGACAGTATATGTAAGTTTTGTGTAGCATGTCTATAAATCCCGTGTGCATAGAG